ACCACCTTGGCTTTTCCTCCAAACATCGCACCCACTCTTGCCTCAGCCTGTAAGCACCACACTAGCCATCCATAGTACAGATACAAAACAACATATCCGTACTCTAATACAACCCACAAACACCACTACCCACCCACTCCATCCATATATATATATATATATATACCCGCCCACCTTGGCTTTTCCTCAAAACCTCGCACCCACTCTGGCCTTAGCCTGTAAGCACCACATTAGTCATCCATAGTACAGATACAAAACAACACATTCGTACTCTAATACAACCCACAAACACCACTACCCACCCACCCATTCACCCATATATATATATAAATATATATATATAAACATACATATACATATTCATATATATATATCCGCCACGTTCCCACATACTCTTCAGCTTCGTCCTAATCCCCGCTATCCTCTCACGCGTCTCCGGTCCCCACGCACTCATCTCCGCACCCACCACACGAGCCTTCTCTCCCAACATCGCAGCCACTCGAGTCTCCGCTTGCAGCCGCCAGCTAGCCCACATGTTGCGTGCCTGTAACCTACTCACCTGCTTGACTTCTCCAAGTATCTGGCGCATGCTTGCTCGGTCAGCCGTGCTGGCGTCGCGGAGGGCTTGGAAGATGTCTGGGTTGTGGATGTTGAGTTTGTTCTCCTGCGCCTCGATCTTCTTACGCGTGTCTGGGTGGGTGTGGGTTTAGGGTTTAGGATTTTTAGGGTTTTGGGATTGTTGTATGGGATGTGGAGAAATTCTGGTATTTGTGTGCGAGTGTGGTGGGAGAAAGTGAGTGAGTCAGTGAGCGAGTGAGTGAGCGATAAGAGAGTGTGTGAGTGAGTGTGAGTGCGTACGTATGTGTGAGTGTGTATGTATATATGCGTGTGTGTTGTTGAGATCATCGTATAGGATGTAATAATATCCGAATCCCCTTATCCATGTCCCCCAAAGTATCAGATCACACAGGTACCTTTGGTCATACGATCGAGCATGCTACAGTTTTGTTCCAAGAGGGTGAGCTTGGGTTCTAGAGTGCACGCCACGCGGAGGCGATCGGCTAGTGTTTCTATCTTCACCAGTTTGCCATTGAGCATGGTGGTGCGCCTGTGATGGGGAAATAGGACAGAAATGTGTATATGATAAGGAAGATTGCACCAGTGTGTATGTTTATATACAGAATGTACGCAAGCTTAATACATACACACATTTACACATTCACACACAGACACAGACACAGGCACAGACATATATATATATATACTCACACACACATATATATACATATACATACATACACACATAGATGCATGCATACATAGACGCATATATATATATATATATATATAATAAACTATAATAACATATAAC